GTCCTGACCGAACTGATCTGGATCTTAAGCTCGAGCTGCCTGAGCACATCGTAGCTGCCCCAGAGCTACTTGACAGGTGGACATGCCAGGAGGACGCGCCGCGGAACGTCCCAAGGGACGCGCCAGGGGATGTGCCCGGGGACGTGCCATGGGGACGCACCGCGGGACGTGCCAAGGGGACACGCTACGGAACGTGCCAATGGACGTGCCAGAGGACGTGCCAGGGGACGCGCTGCGCGACGTGCCAGGGGGACTCGCCACGGGACATGCCACGGAACGTGCCAGGGAACGTGCCAGGTTGCAATGTTGAGTGTACCGATTTTGATGCACCGTGCCAAGGGTTGTGTTGCGCTGAGCCGTACTGAACTGCGATTTGCCATGCTGCGATTGTGCTCTATAGCTTTGTAGATCGAGTCCTCCTTTGCATCCGAGTCCTGACCGCGCTGATCTTGATCTTGATCTCGAGCTGCCTGGGCGCATAGTAGCTGCCCCAGAGCTAAGCATTGACAGGGGGACATGCCAGGGGGACGCGCCGCGGAACGTCCCGAGGGACGCGCCAGGCGACGTGCCAGGGGACGTGCCATGGGGACGCACCGCGGGACGTGCCAAGGGGACGCGCTACGGAACGTGCCAATGGACGTGCCAGGGGACGCGCCACGCGACGTGCCAGGGGAACTCGCCACGGGACGCGCCACGGAACGTACCAGAGAACGTGCCAGGGCCACGGTTTCTAGTAAACTACTCTGCGTCCACGGTCTCAGGGTTGCGCCCCCTCGTGAATTACGCTGTGTCCGCGCCACGGTTAACCGTAAGTGTGTAGTGCTAAAGTCGCAAGTGCGCAGCAGTAAGTGCACAGTTGCGTTCTCGATGGAGTGCACGGTGCACGGTACTGCAAAGTAGAATCCAATGCTAAGTTCCAATGCAAACATCCAATGCTAAAATCCAATGCTTAAATCCAATGCTAAAATCCAATGCTAAAAGCCAATGCTAAACTCCAATGCTAAAATCCAATGCTAAAATCCAATGCTAAACGCCAGTGCTAAAATCCAATGCTAAAATCCACTGCTGGAATCCAATGCTAAAAGCCAACGCTAAAATCCAATGCTAACATCCAATGCCAAAATCCAATGCTAAACGGCAATGCTAAAATCCTATGCTATAATCCAGTGCTAAGATCCAATGCTAAAATCCAATGCTAAAATCCAATGCTAAACTCCGATGCTGAAATCCAATGCTGACATCCAATGCTAAAATCCAATGCTAAAATCCAATGCTGAAAAAGCCAATGCTAAAATCCCATGCTAAAATCCAATGCTAAACTCCAATGCTAAAATCCAATGCTAAAATCCAATGCTAAAGTCCAATGCTAAAATCCAATGCTAAAATCCAATGCTAAAATCCAATGATACAATCCAATGCTAAAATCCAATGCTAAAATCCGATGCTAACGGCGCCGAACGCTTGAGCGCCGAACACCGCGGCGCCGAAGCATGCGGAAACCCCGGCGGGTGCTAAAATCCAATGTTAAAATCCAATGCTAAAATCCAATGCTAAAATCCAATGCTAAAATCCAATGCTAAAATCCAATACCAAATTCCAATGCTAAAATCAAATGCTAAAATCCAATGCTAAAATCCAATGCTAAAATCCAATGCTAGAATCCAATGCTAAAATCCAATGCTAAAATCCAATGCTAAAATCCAATGCTAAAATCCAATGTTAAAATCCCATGCTAAAATCCAATGCTAAAATCCAATGCTAAAATCCCATGCTAAAATCCAATGCTAAAATCCAATGCTAAAATCCAATGCTAAAATAAACGTCACTGTGCACTTACAGCTCAAGGCCACTGTGCACTTACAGCTTACCATCGTGTCCGCGCTCCCAGAGCCACGTTACTCAGTAAATTGCGCTGCTTTCGGACTCCCAGAACCACCTGGGCATCCTGGGGCGCCTAGGCCGCTCGAGTTCTGCAAAACAAACGTTTCGCTCGAGACATCCTCGAAGCGTCTCGCTCGAGACATTCTCAAAACCTGGGCACGTGAAGACAAGCATTTCACTTGAGACACCCTCTGAATTCTGGTCCCTAGGAGAGGAACGATCTATAGCACAAAACCAACGTTCCACTCGAGACATCCTCAACACATTACGTACGCAAAACAAGCGTTTCGCAAGGGACATCCTCAAAAGTCAATTCCGCCGGCCCTACGCGACTTCGTTTTGTTCTATCGCAAATAATTCCGCCGTCCCTGCGCCCGTCGATTCCGGAGGTAAACTCCTGAAAGAGAACCTTGGGCCGGAGCCCTTTCCAGGACATGATCGACCCACGAACCCGGAAAGGAATAGAGAAATGTAACGCATGGCAGCGTTTCCAAAGACACCTGATTGGGTGACGGGCAAATGCAATGCTGCGTGTATCGATCTTGTTGTAGCCTGCCGAGGGCTGTGGTGTGTTGCACCGTGCTGAATTGCGATGTGCCATGCTGCGATTGTGCTCTATAGCGTCGTGCATCGAGTCCACCTTTGCATCCGAGTCCTGACCGAACTGATCCGGATCTTAAGCTCGAGCTGCCTGAACACATAGCAGTTGCCCCAGAGCTAATTGACAGGTGGACATGCTAGAAGGACGCGCCGCGGAACGTCCCAAGGGACGCGCCAGGGGATGTGCCGGGGGACGTGCCATGGGGTCGCACCGCGGGACGTGCCAAGGGGACGCGCTACGGAACGTGCCAATGGATGCGCCACGGGATGTGCCAGGGGACGCGCCACGCGACGTGCCAGGGGGACTCGCCAAGGGACGTCCCACAGAACGTGCCAAGAAACGTGCCAGGTTGCAATGCTGAGTGTATCGATCATGATGTACAGTGCCGAAGTCTGTGCTGTGCTGAATTGCGATGTGCCATGCCGCGATTGTGCTCTATAGCGTCGTGGACCGAGTCCTCCTTTGCATCCGAGTCCTGACCGAACTGATCTGGATCTTAAGCTCGAGCTGCCTGAACACATAATAGCTGCCCCAGAGCTAATTGACAGGGGGACATGCCAGGAGGACGCGCCGCGGAACGTCTCAAGGGACACGCCAACGGACGTGCCAGGGGACGTGCCATGGGGACGCGCTAGCCAATGGATGTGCCACGGGATGTGCCAGGGGACGCGCCACGCGACGTGCCAGGGGGACTCGCCAAGGGACGCCCCACGGAACGTGCCAAGGAACTAGCCAGGTTGCAATGCTGAGTGTATCGATCATGATGTACAGTGCCGAAGTCTGTGCTGTGCTGAATTGCGATGTGCCATGCCGCGATTGTGCTCTATAGCGTCGTGGACCGAGTCCTCCTTTGCATCCGAGTCCTGACCGAACTGAGCTGGATCTTAAGCACGAGCTGCCTGAACACATAGTAGCTGCCCCAGAGCTATTTGACAGGGGGACATGCCAGGAGGACGCGCCGCGGAACGTCTCAGGGGACGCGCCAAGCGACGTGCCAGGGGACGTGCCATGGGGACGCACCGCGGGACGTGCCAAGGGGACGCGCTACGGAACGTGCTGGGGACACGCGTTTCGCTCGAGACATCTTGTCACAACTCTCATGCTAGACACCCGCCCGAGCGACCTGGACACGTGAAAACAAGCGTTTCGCTCAACACATCCTCAACACATTCTCATGCTAGACATCCGCCTGGGCGAACTGGACACGTGAAAACAAGTGGTTCGCGCGAGACATCCTCAACACATCTTCATGTGAGGCGTCCGCCTGGGTGACCTGGGTACGTGAAAACAAGCGTTTCGCTCGAGATGTTTTTCAACACCTCCTCATTCTAGACATCCGCCTGGGCAACCTGGACACGTGCAAACAAACGTCTCGCTCGAGACATCCTCAACACATCTTCATGTTAGACATCCGCCTGGGCGACCTGGACACGCGAAAACAAGCGTATCTCTCGAGACATTCTCAACACATCCTCATGCTAGGCATCCGCCTGGGCAACCTGGACACGTGCAAACAAACATCTCGATCGAGACTTCCTCAGCGCATCCTCATGCTGGACATCCGCCTGGGCGACGAGGACGCGTGAAACCACGCGTCTCGCTCAAGACATCCTCAACAAATCCTGGCGCCAGACCTCTGCCTGGGCAACCTGGAGGCGTGAAACCAAGCGTCTCGCTCGAGACATCCTCAAGACCTGGGCACGTGAAAACAAGCATTTTACTTGAGAGATCCTCTGAATTCAGGTCCCCAGGAGAGGACAGTCTATCATACAAAACAAGCGTTTCGCTCGAGACATCTTCAACAAATTCTGAAAAACAAGCGTTTCGCTCGAGACATCCTCAAACATAATATCGCCGGCCCTACGCGACTTCGTTATTTATAGCAAAATAATTTCGCCGGCCCTGCAGCCGTCAGAACCGGGGGTAAACACACTAAAAGACAACCCTGGGCCCCAGCCCTTTCCGGGAAAAGCAGCGTTTCGCTCGGGACATCCTCAACTAATTAATTCGCCCGCCCTACGCAACCTTGTTATTTATCGCGACATAAAATCGCCGGCCCTACGCAAGTCGAGTCCGGGGGTAAACTTCGAAAAGAGAACCTTGGGCCCCAGCCCTTTCCGGGACAAGAAATTGTGTGCGTGTGTGTGTGTGTGTGTGCTCTTCTCGTCTTCTGCTAGGAGCTCCTTCATGCTCAGGCTCCAGCCGCAGGATCGGGGGCTGCTGAAAGTGTCCCTGGCCCCAGAGGTGCCCCCAGCTTCTCGCTCCACCTTGGGAGCCCCTGGTGCCCACCGGGCACCGTGAGCGGTGTTCTGGCGTCCGCGGGGGCACCCTTGGCAATCCCGAGGACACCTTAGGCCAGGGTCGGGTGTTCGGGTCATAACTTAACTCGATCTGGGCACCCCCAGAACGCCCTCGGCGAGGCGCAGTTGCTAGAAGATATCCAGAGGCAGGGAAACATTCAGGAACCAACGATAACGCTAGAAAACCAGCCAGTCGACGACGAGCGCGGAGCCGACAGGAGCCGGGCGCGGAGAATGGCTTCTCGAGCCTCCCGACTGTCAGGGCCGACGATTGCGGCGTCGACCAGTGCGCGATCTGCATGGACGACGTCCCCCCCGAGGAGTCCCTGGTGCAACTGCCCTGCAAGCACGCCTCCGTCTCAGGTGGTCCTGGCCCTCCTGGTCGGGGCGCATCGATCATCAGCGGCGCGCAAAGTCTGTATCGTTTCACCTATCCCCATCCCCACCAGGCCAGGGTTACCTCAGCCCCATTATCACCCCTGGGGGTAGGCCCACCGAAACCCGAAGGGAACAGACTCTATCCCCATTTAGGGAGGTAAATCGGCCAGCGTGGCCAAGGCCATGCCAGTGGGGATGGAGATTGGTTAAACGATGGTCACAGAGGTCGAAGAAGAAACCAGGTTCGAGGTTTGATGTTCTAGTATGCTTTCGTCGGCTCTCGGCGGTTGTCCAGCCTCCGGATGACTTCCAGCGGCTGCTCCTCGCCAAGAGCGCTCTGGGGGCGCCGGGATCGTCCAGGACGGCCGCCAGCGAGCAGAAATGATTTACCCGAAGGCAGCAAACACATACGCTTTGGAAGCTCCGCGCGGATTTTGTGGATCGGCGCTGAACGGCCCAGTGCCGAGCCAACGAATCCGCGCGGAGCTCCGAAAGTGCATGCTTGCGCGGCTGTTTTGCTTCTTCTGAAGGGGGGCAGGGCGAGGGGGTGGCCTCTCGAAGATGGCATCCCGCGCTCTGAACATTATCGACCCACGAACTCGGAAAGGGATTCAGACTTGCGAGACATGAGAACGTTTCCAATCACCTCAATCGGGCGATGGGCAGTAGAAATGCTGAAGATATCAATGGTGATGATACTGAGCCCAGGGCTGTGTTGTGCTGCTCTGCGCTGTGCCGCGCCGCACTGTGACGTGCCAGGGGACGCGCCACGGAGCGTGCCAGTGGACGTGTCAGGGGACGTGCCAGGGGATGCCGCGCGGTGAGCCAGGTGGACGCGCCACGGGACTCCAGGACTCGCCACTGGGGACCCGCCACAGAACGTGCCAGGGAACGCGCCCAAGGGTCACGATCCCTTGTAAATTCCGCTGCGTCCGCGCTCCCAGGGCCAAGATCCCTTTTACATTACGCTGGGTTCGCGCTCCCAGGTCCGCTTTCGCTGGAGTCACGAGCCCAAGGGTCACGATCCCTCGTAAATTCCGCCGCGCGCTCCCAGGGTCAAGATCCCTCGTACATTACGCTGGGTTCGCGCTCCCAGGGCCACGATCCCTCGTAAATTGGTTGCGTCCGCGCTCCCAGGGCCGGGATCCACTGTGAATTGCGGTGCGTGCGCGCTATCAGGGCCACGATCCCTAGTGAATTACGTTGCGTCCGCGTTCCCATGGCCGCAGAGCATTCCGCGGAGATTGCGTAAAAGAGCTCCCTCCCCCCTCTCCAGAGAAGAAAACTATGTTTCTGCATTGGGATCTGTGTTCGGGTGACGCTTTCCGTGCCCCCCCCCGTTTCCTGAAAATTCGGCGCTGGACCCAAAGGCGCGAATCCTAGCAAATTACGTTGCGTCCGCGCTCCCAAGGCCGCGATCCCTCGTGAATCACGTTGGGTTCGCGCTTCTAGAGCCCAAATTCTTGTTGTAAATTACGCTGGAGGTGCGCTCCCAGGACAGCGTTTCTTTTAAATTCATATGGGGTCACGTTCCCATGGCCACGATCCCCAGTAGCTTGCGCTGCGTCCGCGCTCCCAGGGCCACGATCCTTGTTAGTTGCACGGCGCCCGCGCTTCCAGGGCCACGATTAGTAAATAATTGCGCTTGTGTGCTCAGAGGGCTACGATCCATTGCAAATTACGCTGCGCCCGCGCTCCCACGGTCACAATCCCTTGTGAATTGCGCTGCCGCCGCTCCCCCAAGGACCACGATCCAGTGTAAATTGCAGTGCGTCCCCGTTCCCAGGCAGGGCTAAGAAGGCTCCAAGATGCACCCCGTGAGAGCCCCAGGAAACCAACATTGTTTCATGCCTTGTGGGGAACGTGCATTGTGCAGATTCGCACTTTAAGTTTTACCAGCGTTCACAACTCCCCAGTAGGCTCCGCGGATCGCCCCAAGACGGCCCAAGAGGCCCAGGGCCTTAGGACGGCCCCATGGAGCCCCAAGGCAGTCCAAGAAGCGCCCAAGACGGCCCAAGAGGGCCCCAAGGGGAGTCCACAAGGGGAACTTCCAACTGACAATTCGAGCCTTCCGCCACGATCGCGCCCCCGAGGCCGCAGCGGGCATCCAAAAGGCCCCCAAGGGCCCCAAAAGAGGCCCCAAGGGGCCCTCACAGAGTTCACATGAGGCCACAAGAAGTTTCAAAACTCGTTCCACGAAGCGCCCGATAAGCATGCCAAGAGACCTTGACTTGAATTACAGGTATCAAATAATCTTCTGGACCAAACTCAGGCACAGTAGCGGCATGGGCCGAATACCATACACAAGCAAGCAATTGGTTTGGCGACGGACCCATCCCTATGCAGTCGTGTGTGGTGCAGAGCGCAGGCCTCTCTTCATACACGGCTCGCCGCGGGGCAATGCAGAAATATGGTTGCTGCGGAGCCCGCCTGCATGGGTGCGATGGAGTCCTTGTTGTGGACGATCCGCGTGAATGTATGCCGAATAATTCGGACGCCCCCGCGCGAACACGCCCTGTGAGGTCGCAGGTGGACCTCCTCTGGGCACGACCCGTGCGAGGCATGTTCCAAAAGGGGCTGGTGGACGCCACTCGAAGCTGCCGCTGCACATTGGTGCCATATGTGGAGCTCCGTTTGGGGCATGATCGCGTGAGAGGTTTGCCGACATGGGCGGGGGGTGCGTTGTACGAACCTTGTCTCTGGGGCGGGCCTTCGGATGGTGCTCCTTGTGGGCACGATTCGCGTGGTGGGGTGTGCCGCAATGGCCAGGGGGGGGCGCAGTGCGAACCCTGCCTCTTGGGGCAGTAGGTGGAGATCCCTGTGGGCCACGGTCCGTGTGAGAGGTGTGCCGAAGTAGGCGGGAGGGCAGGGTGCGAACCTTTTCTCTTGGCCCGTCCGTGGAACTCCTCGCTGGCCACGATCCGTGTGAGAGGTGTGCCGAAATGAGCGGGGCGACGCTATGAAGCTTCCCTCTGGTGCCGCAAATGCAGTTCCTTGCGGGGCACGATCCGCGTGAGAGGCGTGCCACTGTGCGAATCTTGTCTCTTGGGATGTAGGTGGAGCTCCCTGTGGGGCGCGATCCCTGTGAGGGGTGTGCCGACATGGTCGCGGGGACGCTACGCCAAGCCTGTCTCTGAGGGGCACGATCCGTGTGACAATCTATGCCATCCGATGCCGAACACTTTCAGGCTACAAGTAGAGCTTGCTAGGATACCAGTTGAAACTCGGACCCAGCTGAACTCGGACCCAGCTGAACTCGCACCCAGGCTGAGCTCGGACCCAGCTGAACTCGGACTAAAGCTGAATTCGGACCCAGCTCTCGGGCTCAGGAAACTCGGACCCGGCTGAACTCGGACCCAGCTGAACTCAGACCCACGTGAACTCAGACCGAGGTCCGCGCTGCAGCTGGAACACCTGGGTCCGAGTTCAGCCAGGTCCGAGTTCAGCCGGGTCCGAGATCAGCCGGGTCCGAGTTCAGCCAGGTCCGAGTTCAGCCGGGTTCGACTTCAGCCAGGTCCGAGACCAGCCAGGTCCGAGTTCAGCGGGTCCGAGATCAGCCAGGTCCGAGTTCAGCCGGGTCCGAGGTTTTGGTTCTGAGTTCAGCCGGGTCCGGGTTCAGCCGTCGGTTGATCTCGGACCCGCCCGCGCTCGAGGTCTCGCGGCCGCGCGCTTGCGCGACCTCCCACCTGTTGTGATGGAGGCTCGGAGATGAGGTATTTGCCGCAGGCATTTGGATAATGCCAAACCGCTTGCTACCCGAAGACCCCTGCGATATGGTGTGTGTGTGTGTTTGTGTGCACGACACGTACGTGCGCCACTCACGAGCTGCCGTTAGGCCCTCAAAGGGCTTATTTTGTTATTGGCACAAAGAGCATCCTTATTCACACCTGGCAGCGGAACTGCTACACGGTCCTCTGCAACCGCACCACTGCGCAGGACTCGTCTCTCTGGAGAGAGTTCCTCACGACCACACCACACTTGCCAGAGCAGTTACCCTTACAAAGGGACTGTGGACTGTCTTGTCGCCTGCCTGCGCCATGGCACTGTCTTCTCTTCGCTACCGACCGAATGCTGAGTCGCTGACACGGTCAAAGACGAAACTTGGTTCTTAATTACATCTACGACGATACGGTGAACAAGTTGTATGAATGGGGATTCCGCACAGAGATGCGCATGAATGCTACCTTGGCCTCCGTCGACCCTGAGACGGGAGTGCCACAGCCACACATTGTCACCGCAGCCGTCAGTAAGGTGATAGAGGGCCTCGGAGGCGACGCATTCGATATAGCCATGGATATCGGTGAAGACACGCTTCCGACCAAGACAGAGATCGAGCAGCTGCTAGAAGCGATCCGCACTTCGATCTTCCTTCCCCATAGGGGATCTGGAAGCCAAGGTCCTGTTCCAGGTAGGAGAGAGACCATACGGGCCCATGTTTCGAAAGAACGTTGAGTCGATGGCTTCTTGCATATCGCACAGAAAGCGCTGGTGGAAGTTTTTCTCTAATCGCGACCCGAACCTTGTGATGACTGACGACGACGTGTTTGGATGTGCTTTCTTGGACCACACATGACTCCCATCTTCAGGGAATTCGATGGTACTGACATCAACAGGTAAGGTGACCAGCTTCGACGAGATCAAATTTGTCTTGATCCTTCATCACGGTCGTATCGACATCCGCCAAAAGGGCAAGGGAGACTCGGGCAGGAGCTCCACTTTCACCCCCCCCCGGAACCCTTGCAAGGGCAAGGGCAAGGGGGAAACCAGGTATTCTAGGCCGCCACAGGCATGCCATGCTGCCGACGACAGCTGGCACAAGCAGGAGGAGCACGATCCCGAGGAACTGAGCCCATCGGGCACTGCGCGTCCAGCCACTCGCCTGAGTATGTCTGGGACGACGAGTCTTGGAGGACAGACGCTGGGACAGATGACCGGACCTGGGGCGACTGGACATCTGCACCGCGCGGGGACG